TGTGTTCATCACCAGATGTAAGGAGGCCTCTGCTGGCATGACACTTGCAGTACACATGTTCCCACATAGTTGTGGCATAAAAAAAGTATTTGGAAAAGGTAATCAGGTTGTATTAGGTGTCGTACTCTATTCATTTCTAGTGTAATACAGGACATAGGCATGTAAGTTTGCCAAGAGTACCATGATATACGTAGTAAATTTTGGGGTCGATGTTCGTAATTGTGAATTTTACATGATGTGAGGTTTTGATGTTGTGTGTAGTACAAGGTGAGTGTACATGCAGACCTGTGTAACTTCACGTAGTACGCAAATTGGGGAAGTCTCGACTGTGCTTTAGCAACACGTTTTCCGTCGTTTTAGATTTTTTGCAGGATGTTTTCTGTTTGAGTTATTTGATAATAATGAGGGAGATAATTTGCAACATACTGAGTGTTGACAAGAAATTACAGTTTTCAAACTTTTTTGTTAGTTTTTAGGACTTGTATGCATTCACATTCGCTTAAGCTGAAGCTGTTTTAGTATTAAAGATGGCCGTTAGGGAAGTAAAGTGATTCAGGAATTTTGTTATCAAAGGTAGTTGTCCTGTCAAAAAAAGAAAATAAATAATAAATGAGAGATAATCTTTTAAAATTGGGTCAGTGTATGAAAGGGTACTGATTAGTTTCAGAATACCCAGTTACTCATTCATAAGTTTGTTTACACACTACCATATTTAGATTTCAAAGTAACTGAGAATTCATCTGAAACTTTCAGGATTAGAGCTCGCTGGTGAGTGGAAACCTGTCATTGTAAGGGGAAGTTGTGTTTTATGTAACTCAGTGTTTTATGTAACCTGTTTGGCAAATTAAGAGCGGATTTCATTGAATTAGGCCCATGTTGTGTTTGATTACTGACAGGAACCAAAGGCTGATGGTGACTGAGTACATTCCCTCTGTCATGATGTGGTCTAACCAGGAAGCTTTATAAGGTTTAACTGTACATGAACCAATCCTAAATATTTTTTGTGTGTGTGCATGTGTGTGTTTGTGGGCATGTGTACGTGTGCGTGCATGCATGTGTTGGGAGGAGGGGAGAGGGCATGTGTAAAAAAATTCTTTCACATCAGTGCTTACTGTTCACATTTACTACAAATTTACAATAACTTTCTCCTCGGTAAAGTTGAATACTGAGGTAACTGAAGCATGTGGTATTAGGATTGGATTGATATTCTTGATGTGATATTTTCTCTCCAATAACATTCATAAGAAAAACTTTTTATTCATTTATTCATTTCTTTTATTAATTTAATTTTTAAAAATAACCTCCTTTATATGGCTGAATTTCAAGGTTGATAACTATACTCCAATTTTATGATCAAAAGAGTGACACTTGATAAAAAAATATATGATGAATAGAATAATGGGTTAATGCGTGAAGTTCACAACCCTGGAATTTTATGAGAGATTTTCAAATGTATAAAAATAAAATGAATTTCAGTGAAGGAAACTGAAGAGGGAGGATGGGGGAGGGTGGGTGGGGGGGGGGGAGGTGTTCTGCTTCACTAAGAGTACTCTCTGTTCCTGCTCTTAGCCTTGCATGTTATTTGTACAGAATAACCCACCTGGCTTACAGATGTTATGTTTCTGGATGACTCGTTATGAAGTCTGCTCTTCGTTTAACTTCGGAACATACACTGTAAACTGAACGCAAGCAGTGATAGCTAATGATATTTTGTAACAGATCACAAGTCACAATAATTACTTATTGATTACCCGGGCCCAGGATAGGGAAATATATAATAAAAAAAACATCCTTGTGGGGATTTCTGACAGTGCTTGATTAGAAGCAGGAAAAACACATGCATCATGTTATTGGATACAGCTTAAAAATGTTTCTTCATGGATACATTGTTGAATAAGTGTTATACTAGTTTTTCACAAAGAGCAAACACATTTTTTAATAAAATTGAACAGGATGGGGAAATTACCACCCATTAGTTTGCAGTGATAAGATCCTCTGAAATATGAAAAGCGAAAAAAGGAAAGACGAAAAAAAAAGGGGAGGGAAATGTAACTTTTTTTTATCCCGATACCAAGGACATTAGAGACCGCCAGTAGCACAATTTAGAAATTCCCTCAGTTTACCCAATCTTTGGGGCATATGGCAGTTTTTCTCTGATCTCCGCCTGTTGTTTGTAGTTGGTTATTGCTACATGTGCAAGCAGTGCTGTTGTATATATGATGCGGGTTGTCTGCACTCGCCAGGTTAGAGTTCTTTTGAAAGTAGAAATTTTCTGGAGAGTTGAAACTGGTGTAAATGTTTATATGATTAGAGTGAAGTTACGTTTTGCTAACTTTGAAGAATCTTGATTTTTATCTCTCTCTCTCTCTCTCTCTCTCTCTCTCTCTCTCAGAAAGGTCTAAGTGAATGTGTGTGGGTGCACCTATCCATGTCTATGCACAAAAAGAGCTGAGAGGATACAGGGATTATATTTTATTTGTTGCATAGAACGAGAGATGTTTTTTTTTTCTTTGTATGTTAATTTGTTACAATTCTGTGGAAAAAATATTACATTGGATTGACAGAGCTTAATATGTTTGATCAATTAACAGAAAAGGATTGGTATTTGTTCTGGTGTATCTCCATTTTCCCTAGCTTTTCATCTTTTATAACTCAAGTCTGCACCATATGGCCATACATACATATTTTATAAAGTTTAGATGATTGGTTTGATGAATGTAGTTTAGTCTAGTTGGTCTTTGTATACAAAAAAAGTTACACTTTATTATTCCAAACTGGAGTACTTAGGTTACAGAAAATCTAGAGGGGATGTTTGAAGAGGTAATATACCCTGCAGTATGAGATAAATCTTTCTTGATCTATTTAAGATTACTAGTAAATTCAGTGAACTACTAGGCAAATGTTTATCGATCAGTGCTGTTTAAATTTTTTTAAACATACAGTTTTTGTTGTTTGGCAGATCTGCATTATGATAACATTTACAGAAGATGTCATTATCAACGATAACATCGCAGTTGAAAGATGACATCTTAATTTGGTGTCAGCAGGGCCAGGCATAGTGTCAATCATCTCAACAGGTTGTCATAACTTTTTTTTTTTTTTTTTTTTTTTTTTTTTTTTTTTTTTTTTTTTTTTTTTTTTTTTTTTTTTTTGAGGGGGGGGGGGGGGCGATCTGTAAGTGAAATAAAGAAATAAAGTGAAATAAAGAAAAATAGAAAAAAGACAGGGTAAACAATCTGTTCTGTAAACAGTTTGACTGGGGTCTGCTCAAAGAGTAATTTAGGCCCCCAGACAGGGTGAGAAGAGGTGTGGGTTTTTTTCTAGTCTTTTGTAAGGGCCAGCTGGATATCTTGTACATGTACCTTCTCATTTTCCCACTGAATATTTTTTTTTCATGCAAACATCTGATAATAGGTTTTTGTTTTCAAACAGGAGTTTGGAAGATGAAGGAAAGAGTGGATAATGGGCTTCAATCAAGCAACTGATTTTTTTTTCTAAAAAGATATTTTTGAATGCATCTGTGGTATGCTCTATGACCAATTTTTTTGCATGTCTCATTTAGCATGTAAAGGGGGTGAAATTGATAAAGCGTAATTATATGACTGCCTGACGCAGTCATGTTCCTGTTTTGAGCTGGTACTAGCACTAGTACATGCATTTTCACCTCTTTCCCTTTCGCAGTGTGTCTTTATGAACAAGATCCTTCATCCTGTCCATGAAAAATTGGACACACACAGTCCCAGGACAGCAGTATTCCAATTTGTTAACTCCCATTGGGCAATATGTTATTTTTGGTTGCTTGCTGTCAGTCGTATGTTGAAAGTGAGTGAAATAATGTTAAACAAAAATCTGTACGAAATAACTTAAAACATAATAAAACTAATATTGAGGATGTGTATAGTAGAAATCAGGACAAAGATGCCGGGCCCACTATCAGTTCAGTGATACATAGTATTTCATATTTCGTTAATTATAAATTAATAGATTAACTTCATTGTTAATCAAGCTTAAAGCATTTGACTGCTTAATTTTTTCTTTTATTTCTAATGCAAAATTGGGAATAAAGAAAAAAATCATTGGACCCAGTAAGCATATTAGTTTGAAATTGGAAAGCGAGGTTAAAGCATTTTGCCCAATGCTAGGTACTTTTAGGAGCGCATGGTCTTTCCTCCTTAGCCAGCCAAATCAGATTGTGTGGGTGGCACATTTATCTGAATGAAATTAAAGTTTTTCTGCAGTCGCATCTGAAAGTACATTCAAGCTGACGTAGGATGTGCGGATACATGCGTCAGAAGAAGTCGAGGATCATGTCATTTTATTGAGAGGTCCTGTCCCATTCATTGACCTAAAAATTTACACACAGATTATTTATTCCAATTACTGTTGAGCATGCAGTACAAGTGGATAGAAGATCAACATGTAACATTCCAATTATAATGTTATGGAGTACAGGCTTTTTTTCTTATTTCTTATCTTCTTTGCTTTTATCTATGTTGAAAGCATGTCCAAGGTACAGCTGGATGATTGAAATGTTGATTTGATAAGAAAATCATATCATGCATGGAAAATAATGATGTGGGCGAGCTGTGAATTATAAATGTAAAAGAGAGAAGTCCAAGTGTTACAGTGTACAAGTGTATCTTTGAGGAGATGGTTGGATCACTTTTAAGTAGATCTCAGGGCGGATGGAGGCCGTCTTCTGGAAGACGGTCAGAATTTTTCATGTTTTTATTGATGGTGTCTAATTTTTTTTGTCGGAAGATGGTCAAAAATGGAAGATGGATCAAAAAAGATAATTAGGAAGATTGTCAATAATATCTCTGGATCTGCCCCTGGATCCTCTCTCTTTCTCTCTCTTAAGCAGGTTTGTTTTAATGTGGGAGAGAAAAGTGTTACACTTACAATGTGAGTAAAATCCATAACAAATCTCGATATATATCTCTGCACATAATTATCTCTTAATACATCTGTGATTTATCGGTGTTTTTTTCTCATTATAGGTCTATTAAGAAAGGAGGTCTGGAAGACAGATAGTGCCCCCAGAGTCCTCATTAGAAGAAGAGATATATTGAACTGAGACATTTACTTAAACTATAAAGACAGCTGCGATATATTGCGAGCAAGCGTACAGGAGCGTACGGAGCATTTGGCCTCTTTCATTGATGCCTGCAGCGATAATTGGAATGATCAAACACACATGAAGTTGTCAGAAATGACTTAAAACCAGTTTGTGATATTCAGTTTTGAGTGAGTAATTTGATTTGGCAGAGGATTTAGGATTTCAACTTGATGTGATTGTTCTTGGCTTGTTATATAGCTAACTAAAGTGCTGCCATGTCTGACAAAAACAGTGAAACTAGCAACGAGAATGAAAATGGTAACGACAATGTGTGTCGAGATTTCCTGCGCAATGTTTGCCGGCGTGGTAAGCGTTGCAAGTATAACCACCCCTGCAGCGAAGAAGCGAAAGACTTAGGTAAAAAGCAGAGTTACGTCTTTTGCCACGATTATCAAAATGCTGGCTGTGAACGTGTCAACTGCAAGTACCTTCACTGCACACGAGAAGAGGAAGATTATTTCAAACAGGCAGGTCAACTTCCTGTGCGCCTCCAGCAGCAAGCTGCGCTTGGACCCGTCACGTCCAATGAGCTACCCCTTATTAAAGGCAGCATTCCTATTTGTAAAGACTACCTGAAGGGTGCATGCAAACGCACCAGGTGTAAATTCAGACACCTGAGTATGGCAGATTACGTGTATGAATTACGCAAGCAAGATCGGACCACCCCTCCCGAGGATCGCTATGGACTGTTGTATAACCCTGACGACTATGATCGTTTTGAATATGAACATGTGTCCAAACGTAGACGTGTTGCTCTTGATGATTATAATGGTTATAGAACATTAGACCGGTACAGCATAACGCCAGATTACCAAACTTTATTTGAGGAAAACGTTCTCCTCCGTCGTAAAGTTGAGGATTTAAAGAAGCAGGTGTCAGATTTATCGGCCACGAATGAGGTTCTTTTGGAGCAAAATGCTCGTATTCGTGCCAGTAAGGCAAATAGTGTTCACATGAGTACAGCACCTGCCTTGGTGACAGTTACCCCGGCGATGACCCCAATAGTAACCCCTGCAGTAGGACCCAGTTCGGCTGCTAGTGCTCAAGCTTTATCAGCATTAACCGCGAGCCTGTCTCAACAGATAGCTCTCAACAGCGAACTCGCGTCCCAACAGGCATTGCAGCAGCGTATTGCCCAGGAACTTGCACCGCAGGGAAGTCTGGGAGCGGCAGCGCTCCTCAACCCATCGGGTTCGGCAGTCGGCAGTATGAACTCTCCCATTGTTCCCGTGTCCCTGGCTCAGGTCCAAGTATCTCTGGGACAGGGCTCTCTGCCCCAGGGGACTACACCCACTGTGTCAATGGCGGTGTCCCTGCCACAAAACCTAAACACAAATGTCAGCATCGCTCAGCAAACTATCGCGAGTGTCCAGCGGGCAGCAAGACAGTTGAATGGACCCAGTGGTGGTCCCAATACACACGATGGCTTCATCGTAACATGCAGCGCTGCAGATCGTTGGTGAAATGCTGCTACATGTGCATCTTTGTTTATATTCCATATTACAGGGACTTGGATGTCATGGCAACTGAGACATGACCTTCACATTGACCTGGCAGGAAGTAGAATTTGTTGGTAGCACTTCACTGAAAACTTCTTAGTTTTGCAGCAACATAGCTGACCACTGTTCATTGCTTTTCTTTACAGACTTAAAAGAGCATCAGAACACCCTGCTTATCAAGAGGAAATGGAGCATGTATCTGGCATAGAGCACCATGTTAACCAAAATAGACCCAACTTGGAAAAGATGGATACTGTCAATACACATGGAACTGAGCACTATGTCTGGATACACATAGAAGTGCATAAGTTTGATGAAACTATCCCAAATGGGTGAAATGCACTACTGCACATGCATGCGTGATGATTTCGGCACATGCGGGGCGAGTGTCCAGCGGGGCACTAATGTCCCAGGATACTGCCTCCGCCGTGGAACACAGGGATGGTAGTCCAGATCTACCATGATCTTTATAGTGAAAGTACTATAACGAGGCTATGGATATAGACATACGTCTTGTGTACCAAAGTTTCAAATTTTTTGTTTTTATTTGGGTTTCCACAGTCACTAGTTACTGGCATTTTAAGGGTCATCTTGTGACACGTCATTTTCAAGTCTAGAGCATACCTTTATGAAAACTGACCCCCCATTTCTTATAGTTTAGATTTTAAAGGAAAACAACTCTTCATTTTGGTGAAAAAAGTGCCATAAAACAAGATTTTCCTAGGGTAAACAAGGTTGTTTCCATACTAAACAATGGTTAGTGAATCTGTTTCAATATTCAAAGTTAGTTGTTGTTTTTTTTTTTGTTATTGATCCTGTATCTATCTGTGAAGGTCCGCGCAGTTCAATGACAAGTAGAGATTTCAGAATAATTGCCATTTTGGTGGTAAAATGGAATTTATTATATTTCTTTGTGTTGTTCACATTGTACTTATTGTGTGATTTTGAACCTCATATGAAGAGTTGTTGTCCCTTTAAGGAGTCTGACATATTTTCATGAATATGTCTGGTTTCAAAACCCTTGGTTAATAATATTAAAAGTGACTTAAAAATGATCTCCATTTGGTCAACCGTTAAAGCTAGAAGGATAATTTGAAGAATAAAGTTACAAACACCATATTAAAAAATATATTGATGTCATACTTAGAAATATCGGTGTAATCAGAGATGATTGGTTTGTGCAAAATCTTGCAATCACATACAATTTGAAAACTGCAGGAAATTGGAAGAACTGTATTTACATATTAGGTATATACAGAGTTATCTTTTTCTTTGTATATACTCCTGAAAAATGTCAAAATAACTTGCAGGTTATTTGCAACAGTTTAACATGGCTATTCAAGATTGCTGTTGAAAGTTTTTAGATATTGTAATCCTTTCATATATCTATATTTAAGTTACTGAAATTTTCTTTGATTTTGTTGTTGAAAAATTAAATCTAGTGTACAGCATTATGATTTTCTTTGCAACATTTGTGTCAGATTAGTTGTAAATTGAATAATTCTGACTTTGAGAGAGTGTTCTTGCATAACTATACAGTATTTATCCATGGCTTTCCAGCACTTTTTGTGTAGAGCATTACACATATTTTTATAATTCTAGTTCGTGAACAAAATGAGCAAAAGAATGAAATTCCCCATCTGTTGGTGTTTGTCTTTCTGTTATATATAGTTCAAGTATTTAAATTAAATTATAATTGATTCAATAATGAATGTACAAATGTTAACTCTGTTCAATTTCAGGAACTAGTTTTAAAGTGTAAGGATTTTTAAAATTGCAAAAAAAAAAAACTTTTATAGCTTAATATTAAGTCACTTTTGCATCGCTCATTATCTTAACAGGATAAACCCAGACTAAAATGCTTATGTGTGAAATTGCCCCATTCTTTTTTATATGTATCATCTTTTTCTTTTGTCGTATTGTTTTAGATGTGAAGAAGCATAGTCTGGGCTTATGTTAACGTTAACTTTTCACCCTTGAGAATAAGAAAACATTAGATTTTCCTGAACACTTTATGGTTAATTTAATATTGAAGCAGATAAAGTGCTGCTCAAGTTAGTTGTTCTTTCAATAATCCACTGTCTTCATTAGACCTAAGGATGAAACATTTCATTTGATAATGCTTTGCCAGTGAAAATAATTGATAGTCCTAAATTCTTTATTCCTTCATTCCCCGACCATTGAGTGTTATATTGATCTTTTGATTGTAACCAAGAAAAATGAAAATAAATTATCATATATAATTAAAATCATTCTGTTCATTTGCTTGTTCACTTCCACATATTTTACTTGAAATATACTTCATATATATTTGATATACCCTGGGCAATAATGTAATATTGATTTTTTTTTTTTTTTTTTTTTTTTTGCAAAATGCACTGACAGTAAAAAAATACTACACTGATAATCGGGTTCTTCACTGGTTAAATATATATATTTTTTTACTCTATTGAACAGAAAAAAGTGTAGCTTATAAATTATCTCCTTTTACAGATTAACCTAAGAAATTACTGAATGATTCTAATTGGTCCAAATTGGAAAAAAATTGTCACAAATTTTATTTTAAAGCTTCCTTATTTCAAAACTTAACAAACTTAAATCTTTAGAAAATCTATTTAAGTGCTAATATTTCCCATTTCTATCAATATTTGACAAATACACAAACACAAAGGATAGCAAATGAGTCTATTGAAAAGTACCTGTCCGGAGTTTTGGCATTAATAATAAACTGCCATTCACCACTTTCCATTTTACGAGTATTCTCTAGATGCCATGTTCCCTTAAAAAAGAGAAAATGTGTTTTGCTTTAGACAAGAAAAATAATGGGAGTAGAAGTGTGAAGAACGTTAGGACCAAAAAAAGAAATAGGTTACAGAGTAAAAAGTTGAAGCAATTCAACAGATTCAATTGTAACTGATGCCTAGCAGCAAGTATACATACAGTGGGATCACCTAAGTAGCACAATGCTATCTCATATGGAACTGTTTACAATTAACTGCTGAGAGCATTTTCTGAAATTGCTGTAGCTGAAACAGTAGAGTCAGTGTTCATAATGTGCAAATTGTGTGTACAACCCATATTTCTGATTGCGATAGTTGAGACTTCTTTTTAAAGCACAATGCTATGGAATGTTGCACATAATACCAGAGGCCCAGAACAGCTCTTAAGAGTGAGTTTTCATACCTAGATTGATCTATCTCCGAGGGGTTTCTCGCTAAATTGCTTTCAGCTTAAGCGGCTTAGATGTTTGGCACACATACTGAAGCTGCAAATTGGTAATTAAATTCCCCCCAAGCAGCTTCAGTAGGCGTGACAGACATCTAAGCTGCTTAAGTTGATTGCAATTTAGCGAGAATCCCCCTTGAAGATAGATTGATCCACAGTTAGTACAATAGGGTCTGGGAACGGTCTCTTAGTCCTCTCTTCACTTATATATATCCTCTTTCCAGTATTGGTCTGAAACATTAGCTGTCCTTCCTCTTATTAAATGACCACACTATTCAACGTGATTGACAGGACTAAAAATTTGGTCAAATCTGTAGACTACAGTTCTGTGATGAAAGTTCATGCCCAAGCTAAGAATGGCAAGCAATCAATAAATTCAAACACATGCAAACTCCATTTTCACAAATTTCTTGGATCCCATTACACCAGAGAAAGAAATACAATCTGTGAGGGGAAATGAATATAATTCAGCTGATTGTTTCTTCATCAGAAACTCAAATGGTCTCTTAAAATGAATAAATGCTAATAGTCTTTCACCAAATAATACAGTGTCAGAAAAAGAGGTATTTTTAGTACTAGTAAGTAATTACCATGAAAAGAATACTGCTTTGTAAATCATAAAATCTACATTTAGCACACAAACAGATAAAAAAAAACTCCATGTAAAATCACAAGTAAAGAAATCATACTGGAGACTTATTATCAATAATTGTATTCTGGTATGAACTTGAGCCCAGGTCAGTCTCAGACCCCTGACCTTCACATGACCTTCAATTAAGAATTTAATAACTGGAAATCCTGCAATTTGCCTTTTTCCAGACTATACCCTCCACTCCATACCTTCCCCACCCCTCACTCACCCTCATTTAACAGTCTTCTCAATAGCTCTCAGTCGCTTTGTGTAAAGCAATGTGGGAAAGTCTTATGACAGTTAAACAAACTCATCTAGTAAATAACCTGACACTGAAATATGCTTTAGTCACTTTAGCTTAGTTATTCGGAAGAGATGGACCATTCTCAGGTTCCTTGGACCTGCTGCTACTCATTTTTAACTGTCTGCGTCTTAATTTCTCAGCATGAAAGTTTTTTTCGTGCGTTGTGCAATTAGATTTTCTAGTAAACCTCTTTGGACAGAAGTCACACTTGAAAGGTTTCTCTCCAACATGCCATCTCATATGTTCAACATAGTTTCTGTGGCAACTAAGAGTTTGACCACAGTGATGACATGAAAATGACCCATTTAATCCTCTTGGGAACTTATTCTGAGGCGGTGATTTTGTATTCCTTTCAGACTCTGAAGATAATAGCTTTTTCTTATGCTTCTTTTTAACGTGAAGCCTCAAGAGAATCTCTTGGTCAAAGTTTCTCATGCAAAAACGGCAAGAAAAAGTCTTGTCTGTCCCTCTGGTGTGAGCCCGCTTCTCATGCAATGATCTAAAGTATTTTGTAGTGAAAACTCTTGGGCAATGCCTACACTGCACCGCCCCCCTGTTTCCCCCTGAATGCTTGGCTTCGTGTGCCATGCATCTGCGCGCAGTTGGGAAAGTGAGGTGGCAATATCTACAAGCGTGCGAAGCAATCTTTGCATCATGGGTGGAGATCTGGTGTTTTATGGCATCAGGTTCCAAGGCAAAGGTTTTGGCACAATATTTGCACTTGAAGGGTCTATCTACGGGATTAGTATGGACACGCTTCTCATGCTTTATTCTGTCATATTTGGTTTTGAAATTGCGATGGCAAATTTCGCATTTGCAACTTAAATCCTTAGCATGGGATGGCTCAGGCAATGAGCTAACTCCATGTGTGGTGAGGTGTACTTGCCACACAGATTTCTTAGTAAATATATCCCCACAATGTTCACACTGAAAGAGACCCATGGCAGCAAAATTTGAATTGGATCCACTTTTGTCTAAATCCTTACTAGGAGAAAGAGTACTTTGAGAAACTCCCACATCTTCTACATGGTCTTCCACTTCGACTACGATTTCATGGGTTTTCTTATTATCAGTGCCATCTTCAATAATATCAATGATGTCGACACCTTTCCTTCCGGCTGGGACTACAGAAATTTTATCCGAATAAAGCTTTGCTGGAGACTTCTTCATACTACTATGGTTAAATGCATGTGCATGTGTCATTGTTCTACTGGGAGTATGAATACTAGACCCATGTCCATGAACCTGTGACTCTTCCCTACCAAGAAATTCCCTGTCTCTTTTTTTATGCTTGTGTCTACTGGAATGTTTTGAGTTACTGGAATGCCTGTGCCTTTTTCTTTCAAATACAGAACTTTGCTGTACATCATTAGCAAATTTATCTAAACTGGACCAGTTTTCTTGCGTCCAAGAAGAAGACACCACTGCAGGCTTTATCCCTTCTGATTGTTTTGACTGGGCACAATGCTCACTTTGAGACAAAAGTCTTTTCTTTTCTGAGGGCAGATTGCCATCCTGGTTCTCCTCCAAGCGGACATCCTTATCTTCACTGGATTTGTGTTTTTGGGACGGCCTTGTAAGACTACTACTCGATTCTCGATGTTTTCCTTCCTGCCGCCTGTCTCCATGGCTGGATAAGGAAGCACCAGAACTTTTGTTGCCTAACCCAGGTTGATGTTCTCTTTTCCAGTGATGGCGTCTCTCTTTCCATGTGGGAAAAGCCTTATGACAATCATGACATTTGAATAGGGATGAACTGACTTCAGCTATTTTTGCAGGTGTTGTACTCTCATCGTTCAATTCTGATGGATTAAGAACCTGGAGTCCTTCTTTGTTGGTTTTATCATTACCCTGGTGTTTCTTTTTGGTGAATGTTATAGTGAGATCAGGTGAAAGTGCTTTTGTAGCCTGGTACTCGACTTTGGCATTACTGTCCCCACCTGCACTGGGAACATGTTCCACATGATTGGCTTTGTATGACTGGGAATATGTACATGCACCTTGTGTCTCATCTTCATGGTGTATTTTCGATTTAGAACAGAGAACATTTTTCTCAACAGGTTCTACCGAATCTAGAACAACATCCTCTGTCAATCTGCTACTGTCTTCAATCAAATTTGTCAAACCTTGAACAGTCTGTGTTACCACATGGTGTTCTTTCCTTGGAGAGGTTCTTGTGCTCAGGATTCTCATCCATTCCTTGGGGTGTATAACTTTTAAGTGGCGGTTGGTATTACCTTTGCATGAGAACTTCTTTTCACAAATTGGACATCTGTTGTCTTCTGTGTCAAAGGGAAAATGGCTTGATCCAAACCTCAAGTGACCTTTGACCTTTTTCTTTTTGGTAAGCATAAAATGTTGAGGTGACGACTTGTGGTTAGAAGGAATGCTCTTCTTTTTCTTCTTCTTCTTCTTCTTTTTGGCAATTCTCTTTATCTTCTCTGGTGGAGAATCGAGACTTTTCTGAAATGCAATGGAGTCTTTAGGTTCAGATCCAGAGGTAGTAGCCCTAGTTGCAGGAGCACATTTCTCTTCATGTAGCCTTTCAACATTTTCATCAGCAAACACTAGTCCACAATGCTGACATGGATAGGTCCGTTTTCTTCTAACGGGGCATCTTTTTCTCTCATGGGCTGTCTTATTACTCTTAGAGGAAAATGACTTTTGACAGTACTGACACAGAAAGGCAACCTGCTTTGTGTGGAACTTCATGTGCCTTTTCCATCCTTCCACTGTTCTGAATGACTTGCCACAGGTCTTGCAGTTGAAGGATTTGTTAATACCATGAGTCCATTCATGGTACTCAAGAAGAGAGGGGCTTTTGAATACTCGTTCACAATAGAGGCACTCTAATGAGAGGATTTCTTCTTCAACTGTTGAATGTCTAGCTTGTTTTGGTGTTGTTGGCTCAAGATCAGCATCCAGAGATCTCTTCTTTGCCAATTTGTCTGATGCCTTCTTTCCATCTTGGCTGCACTCCGAGACCTGGGCTTTGTTTTTCAATGAAGCATCCACATTCTTGTTGTCATTGTCATGCATTGCTGTAGTCTTCTTCACCTCATTACAGTCCACTGAATCTTCAGTATCATTTTCCTTACTCTGGGCAGATTCCAAACTTTGATGGACAGTTTCTGAGTTTGATTCACAACTAACGACACTTTTGCTTGTGAATGCCGTGTCTTGACAAGCATAAATTCCACCTTGCGTTATGTGAGATGATTCATGATATTTTCGATGAGAGCTGGTTTTGAATTTTCTGTCACAGTAGGAGCATGAAAATGGCTCCTCTCCCGTATGGTATCTGGTGTGTACGATCAGCTGGCTCACGGTTGGGTAACTTCTTGAGCAGTATGCACACTTATGCTTCCCAGTGGTTGCCTTTTTTCTCTTCTTCTTTTTGGGTAGTGACTTTCTATGTTTCTTTGTTATTTGTTCCGTCATTCTTTCAATGGGAATACCTTTACTCTCTTCTTTACTATCCACGGAGCAATGAACTTGCTGTTGGATTTTAAGAACTAATGGCTCGTTGTCACTTGTGGTATAAAAAGAGGTATCATTCTCACTGAGACTTCTGACATTGTTATTGCTGTTGAAGTATGTAGGGCTGCTGTCTGTGAGGTTTGATTGCATGTATGAGTCGCCTCGGTGAGTGATCGCAGCTGAATTCTTATTGGACTGGTTTTTGGGGCTGTAATGTGCACTGTCATCTTCCAAACGGGACGGTTGTTTCGTACGGATTCTGCTGTCGTCAGGTTTGTTGGGAACATTATCATCACTGCTGTGAGCATTTTCAGCATCATCACTGTAACCAATGATATCAACATCAACCTCTTCATCATCAGAAATATGTATTATGTCTTTGGCTGGAGTTGTTAATTTGACACCAAGGGATTTTTCTTGAGGACTGTTGTCTTTATCACAGTTGTTGATACTACTATTGTCACTGTCAATGATGTTGTTACTGTTACTGCTTGAATGACGAGGATTGTTACTGTTGTTCTTGTCACTGGCAACACTGCTACCACTTATGTAGTTTTCATAGCTACTGTGACCGTTAATGTTAACAATGCTGTTGCTGTCATTGTTACTGACACTGCTATTGTTGGAAACGCTACTGGCACTGGCACTATTGTCACTATATAAACTGTCAATATTATCTCTAGGTGGCACTGTGCTGAGATCAGCTGATTTACTATCCTCTCTTCGCCAATTTTTTACTGGCAGATTACTGGCCAAACTTTTCAGTTTATCAATGTTAAATTTTGCATTTCTCAACTGGATGGTTTTCTTTTGCCGTGCATCAGAGACAGCAGAGGGAGTGAGGACCCTGGCTGGTACCTTGGCTGCAGGGTCCAGTGACTTTGGACTATCACATCCACTACAAAGGCTGGACTTGGACATGCTGACCACTGGGGGATTGGAAGGGTCAGTAATGTTCTTATCTGGGTTGTCTGAATCTTCGCCTTCTACACTATCCATTCTGAAAATGAAAACATCCACATTAAAGTTGTTTGCCCGCATACATATATACATTACAGTATCATGTTTTTTATAAATGAAGACTGGGTTGTCTGAACCTTCAGTTCCTTTAATATTTTCTTTTCTCAAAAAGCAAAGACATCCATATATTGAAGTTGTTCTCTTATAATATAACACATGAATGGAACAAAGGACTTGTAACAAGAATGTAATTTAATTTAGATAGCCAACCAATTTCTCATGACATCGTTGTGTTTGTCTCAATAACAAATCAAAGAAGCTGCATGAGCAAGGAGGATGCTGTTATAAAAGCAAAAGAAGAGAAAAAGAAGAAAACATATCGAAATTGCCCTCAAAATGGCGTCCATTTTTGTGGAATTTTGACCCTACCTCTATTTAGGAACAGTTTGTTTAGGATTTGAATGGATTATTGAAGCAGGAAATACACCTACTGCAAGAAGTTATAATAAACAGAATGGGCAAATGGTTATTTAAATAAAAATTTATTTGAAGTCACTGAAAAATTATCACAAAATTTCCGTCACAAAATTCACATTTCTTGCTCAACATGATCGATTTTTCTTCACCGTGTCCTATGTAACGTTCGTTAAGCTGAAATTTCAGAGATCGATTTTTATCAGACGACTTTAAAATGCCGCGTGAAAATTATACATCGATAGCGATCTGCTTCCACACTCACTAACTGATGACGTCTCACACACGAATGGCTTCTTTTGCACACTGAAAACCAGCTCAAACTGGCGCGTGTCCCATTCTGATAACATGTAATGCAGTGACGCTTTCGAGATTGGATACAGGGCACAGGTGTAATTCCCTCAATTTAACTGCCACAGGACTGTTTATAGGGATCTTCTTTGCATGAAGGTGAGAAATACTGAGTTTCGTTTCATTTTTCGTCAATTGTTTCAACATATATGTGTACCGATTGATTATTACCATTCGATAAGTAGGGTGACTTCATCTGAACTTTCGTTTTGCGTCTGTGTCACATGGCGGACTAAAGTTCATATTGAAATGGTAAAGCGGTGACACCGTTTTCATGTTCTCTTGTTCTCGAAAACTCAATCATCAAAATTGAATGACTTTTTTTTTAGTTTTTTCTTAAATTAAGCTGCTACACTGTATTCAGTGCGTTTAAAATTTAACCGTCTGTAAAAACAGCAATTATGGATTACTGCAACACTAACGTACAGAGACAAAATGAAGCACCGAAAATGGGTGAAGAAAATGTGTCCCAGTAATGCGTGTTTGCCACTCATAATGCACTGTACTTTGTTTGAATAAGCAATAAACTATTTGTAATCTTAGGTTACTCATTGTTCGTTATCAGAGTAAACAGATTCTTTGTATGATTTTTTTTCAGAATTCCAAGAGTGGATGCCTTGGTGAGCACAGAGCAGATATCACCAGTGGTCCACAGATGTCAGAAAGAATGTTATAATACTGAACTTTGTGTTACACTGAACTTCATTTTGTTAAATTTTGTATTTACCTGAACTTTATTGTGTTAAAATAATAAGAAATAATAATAATTCTGACAAAAAAACTACAATCTGGAAAATTCTTTAGATCAACTTTGTTCAGCGTGTGTCCCATGTAACAGAGTTACAGTAAACAAAAACATGTGCATTATTCCTCTGTGTTTGTCAATTCCAATTTAAAAGCATGTGAGAGTGATGCTCCCCTCATGATTGAAGTATGTGTGTGGATAATAGCAAAAATATTGTTATTATTTAGATGATTATAAAAAGTTTTTGTTCCCGCGTCTCTAACGTTATCGTGTCCTACATATTCACCATTTTTATTAATTATGAAATGTGGATTGAATTCTTCAAAACCAGTTTTAAAGCACTGAAACAACACCCCCTTATGATTTAAACTAAAACTGGAAACATTCCATTAGACTTTCATTAGTTTGTGCAAAATATATTACCCAGGGTAACGCGTCTTGGATTTGGTGAGTATAGCTGTTCAACTCTCCTGTGTGCCCTAAAAAGGGCATCTGCTGTTTCCCTTTTTATGAAATGATAAACTGTGATGGTGTAGCTATCACATTGCAAAATTACACCTTCCCAGAGAACGTTTGAAATTTTTGGCCAAATTCAACATTTTGTAACCACTAGCAAAGAATGACATATATATAAATATTACTTAAATTTGTATTGTGTGTGTGTGTGTGTGAACACAAACACAAAATATACTAGTAAGGTTCTCTCAGCATCAATAGGATTATCCACGTTGCAGTTTAAAATTGAAAAAAATCTTACTGTGAGAGAATTCAAAAAGTAACCTCCAGAACCTGTCTGGGTATAGCGATGTGAAATAATAAGTGGGGTGAAGTTGACAATTGATCATCACATTATAATAATAAATCAACACAGTACTGTTAAAGCCACTTTCCCCCATGCATCTACTAGTACCCTTACTGTACATCAAATGGATTTTCACAGTAATAGCTAAAATCCCTGCTGAGACAGCTCACTCCTGCTAGTACAATTAGTACTAGTACAGTCTGATAGTAGTACCCATATGCTGCAGTAGCATGTGTCTAATAGTACCTGCATGGTTGAGCTATTTTAATTCAAATATATGAAACATTTAACATATGGCAAAACCAAACACGACCACATTCAACAACAAAAAAGGGGAAAAAACAGAGTTGCAGATTCACAAATGTGCTGGCAGTGTGAATGTTGAATTTTATTAAAATCAGTACTTTATGAAATATTACTCAGATCTCAAGAATAATCATTTATTCAGTAAAATCTCAACCTGAGGGTTAAAGTTAAGATCAATGTATCAAATAAGTTATTTAATCAAATACTTTAACTTACTAGTAATTGGTCGTAGAAACTTAAGAGGGACTTCAAAGTTCAAAAGACAATTATAATTAATGAGTTATTGAAGCTTTCAGCCTTGACCTTTCTGTATTCTACACAATGCCAGGAGGAAAACTTTTGACAGGCAGTATGAATATTGCACAAACCATCTCATCTGAATGTTTAATAACAAACTTCACATTAGAATTGTGAAAAATAACAGGACTTGTAAGTGCACTGCAGTATGAGAGAAAAATGCTGCATGCTCCAACAAATTACTAAGCAAAACCTGTCATTTCATTTGGTGTTTATCAACAGTACGGCCCTAGGGCAGATTACAGCCAAACAGTACCAGCAATATTGGACATTTTTCATGGCTACTCGGTCAGAATCCTTCAGAATGGAATTTGAAGGCAGTGCAATCTATCATGTCCACTGAGCTACTGAAATATATATGCAACTTTGGAGGCAGGCGTCGATAGGTGACAAGGTGATTATAAGCGTTTTCAGCACTGACGTTTATGGCAGAGCACATCTTGGATCAAAACTAAACATTAAAATGCATAGGTGCATTAATAATCGTGGCTCGCGTCAACGACGCCTCAATTCAGGAAGAGTGCAGACAAAACGGAAGTCACGCGGACGCCCAGAAATTCCTATTAATAACCAGTCGATTAATATATAATAATGGGGGACTAAACAACGTATGTGACAGTCCAACCTACCCTGTGCAGTGGCCACTGATCTCCTAGATGCTGGATAGGAACACACAATGTTTTTCATTTGTACCTGGTTATACTCGTTGAGCGCAGATTTACTGCGCATGTCGCTTAGAGCAAAACAAAAACTAGCTAAATCCTGACATGCGCAGAAAAGCGGCGACTTACTAGCGTGACGTCATTTGGGATTTCCCCACCAGCAGTCGGATTAAGTTTATAACTGAAAAACGTTAAGAGTACAGGCTGAGTAGTTTAGATTTTTTTATTCACATTGTTACTCATTGCTTGGCAATTCGTTAACTTTTAAATTTTTTCTGTGTGTTTTATCAATTTTTGATGAATGAAATGTTCGTGAATAAATCATTTGTTTAAAAACTTTTGGCCTAGTCATATGTTGTTCTCTTTTCCACATTAATTTAGGAAAACGACGCATGATGGGGCGTGGACATAATTCCCAGTCTGCCTTTTAAAAATACTATGCACAATATAACAAAGATGCATGTGTATACCAAAAAGTTAACAAATATCGATCGTGAAGATAACCCTGTCAAGGTACACACACTGGACAAAAGAAGTGTCACCCCTACTGAGCCAATACTATGGGGGAGATAAATGACTGTGGAATGATATGCTCCTGGTATCATTTTATTAACATCAAATTTCACAAAAAATCACAAAATGAGAACAAAATATACATTCTACCAAAATATGTAGTTTCAAGTCCAAAATTAGTACTTAGTGGCATAGCCACGTGACCTAATAATAGGTGCCAGTCTACGAAGCAAGAATTCATTTAATTGTCTGATGCGTTCAGGGCTTATGCTGGCCCAAGCATGAAACACTGAATATAACAGAGTTTCTCTGCTGGTTAGACGGGCATTTGTAAAAAGTTTTGACATATCATTCCACACATTTTCTATTATGTTTGTATCCGGACTTTGGGCAGGCCACATCACCCTGCGAATGTCCTGTTGGTCAAACCAATCATCAACTGCTCTGGGCCTGTGACAAGGAGCATTGTCATCCTGGTGAACAGATGGATAATTCCTTTCACCAAACATGTTAGTAATAGATGGTAGCAAGCCTGACTCCAAAATATCGATATATTTCTAGTGATTCATGTTTCCATTAACCACTATCAATTCGCCCAAGCCATGGATGCTGATGCAGCCTCACACCATGATGAATATGCTGCTCCGGGTTCGGAAATTCAGTGCATGTGGTTCAAATGCTTTACCAGCAGTTTGCCAGCATAGTGCCCGTCTGTCATCAGAGGTCAGACCAAAGCGACACTCATCAGAAAAAATATATAGGACCAATTGTCATGAACTGTCCAGTTCCAGATCCTGTTGACCCTAGTTTACTCTACGTTGCCTGTTTTGTAACGATATAAGAGGTTTTAGTCTTGCTACCCTGCTGTACACTCTCTGAGCATGTAACCGACGCCTAGCAATTTTCACAGACACATTCTGATGTGTGAAATTGTTCCACTGTGTTGTCAACTGACAAGCAGTGTCGAACTTAGACAACCTGGACATCAAAATCAGTCGTTGGTCTTCACGGCCAGTATTTTTTCTTGGACGACCCATCAGAGGCAATTTGTCTCTTGATCCAGTGTTTCTATACCGAGACCAGACCCTCTGCACGGTTCTGACTGAACAATTCAATTGTATCGATATTCTGACATTGCTTATATTCCGCCTCTTCAGGTTAATAACTTGCACCTATAACCGTTATATAATTACCTGTATCTTGCCATACTGGGGGAAGACAGGAATAACATTTGCTGTACATGTACAAGACCAACAATACAATTCCATGGTATAGCGGTTTTATACTCATTAGTCACATTATAAGTAGACCAGGCATTATAAGTACCCAAGATCTACCTACTTTCATTACTCTGAGTTAGGGGGTGACACTTCTTTTGTCCAGTGTGTGTAATACACTCAGTGCATAGGCACTCAATGAATGTGAAAGTAGAAATATGCTTTGGTAGATGTGTAGGCCAGTGACTGCATGGATAGACGTACACTGTGATCATGATGTACTATATATAAAATCAATATCCTCTGCCAGGGCCACAGACAATCACTAGATATTCACAGATATGTACTGTACAGTGTATTTGGCTAATTCGTGGCACATATGTATCCGCTGTGTCGCGTTTGGAGAAAAGTGCACATGAATAATCTGCGGCCCTCGTAGAGGGTATAAAACAACCCCATCTCTCCGGTCCGTTTTAATATAAACAGGCACAGTCCAGTAAACATCCAATAAAAATCCTTTCAATGTTTACAGTGACCGACTTTATACGTACATGATGAGCACGATTATATCTGTAGCTCCGCCTTACCATCAAATATTTATAAATGCTAAAACGCATTTTTACAATGTGACCACAGCAGATAGCTAATCAGAAGAAAAAGAAGAAACGGGGCAGCGATGATGCCTCGAATATACAGTATGTATATTTAGCGCGTCGTACGTCACACCTGTTGCATTTAAGGCCTTGATGTATCCAAAACTAAAATCAAAAAGGCCCCTGAAGCAGGTAAAATGAGCAGGGGAAAGCATAAATATGGTTTGTGTGTGCGTGTGCGTGTGTGTTTGAGTCTGTGATTAAATATATTTTTCTTTTTTATTTATTAAACCACAAAATAAAATAAAATAAAACAGAAGCACGGTGTATCAATATCAAGATATTAGGTTATAACCTTATACTGACCTAATACTGATAGAATTGGCGTTGAGTAGAATGCAAAAAAAGCTGGTGATTATACGACTACGTTGGAAACAAGATGAGGCGTGTTAGTCTGTTAATCTGATTGCATTCAGCAAGAGTCCCTGAGAAGATGAATCGATCTACGCATGGCGATTGCTTCCCTATATATGAGAAAATAGTCCAGCTATTAAGTTATGGCGACACGTTGGTAAACGTAACCTCAGGCCTAGGCTTACACTCTACCTTTTTTGTACCCTCTACCAGGGCGAGTGATAGATTTTTTTACAGATATTCACAGATATGTCTCTAGCTAGATAGATAGTCATTTACAGCTGAACTCACCCTGTTGAGGAATCTCAAGGCTGATTACATGGCTGATAATCGTTTGCATAACTGCTCGGGCACTGCCACTTAGCAGGTCCAGTCTAACACCCCATTTCCATAGATTAGATCGACCTACTTTAGATCGACCTAACTCCCTGGGGGTTCACGCTAAATAGCTGTCAGCCGGGCGGACACGAACGTTAATTACCCTCTTACAGCTTGTAGTAGGCGGGACGGACATTTAAATCGGATTATCTGAAAGTAATCTAGTGAGACTCCCCGCGGGGATAGATCGATCCAAAATCTATGGGAATAGAGCTTAAGTCTGCGTGACAGCAATCAAGACAGTTAATTACTCTGACTTCAATCACTTGCTCTTCTGTGACAGATAAAAAAGCCTTAGACTGGTTGCGTAACGAGCAGTTATCACATGGTTGTGAAGCGAACCTCATGCAGAGCAAGTACAAAGCCTTTGGCGCGCGGGCAGAGATAATTGCTCCCACATGGGATTCCTCAACAGGGTGGGTTTAGCTGAAAATGACCATCTATCTAGCTAGAGACATATCTGTGAATATCTGTAAAAAATCTATCACTCACCCTGGTAGAGGGTACCTTTTTTGTATGTGAGGCCAACTGATTGCTGAAGGTTACTGGCATTCCATACATAGATTCCCGCTGGGGACAGGCAGAGCAAAGTGCCAAACATCAGACAAAGACATATCAGTGAATATCTAGTTAATTTATCAATTTTTGGTCCAGGTAGGGGTACTCTCAGACTCTATACCAGAGCACGTAGTCTGGCCGAGATCTTCCAGCTGTTTCAAAATTGTATATACAAGGAACTCTTTCATGCAATTCTGTGATAGCCAGAGGACCTCTAGTCCAATTAACAGACGTGTCCTACATTGTAGTTGTTATTTTGAGTATGATATATGGCACCATAATTGTTCCCCGCGTTTCATGTTTAATTTCCGATGTTTTTCTTCGTTTCACAGCCTTTCTTTTCAAACTCACCCACAGGCCTCTTCGTCTTTGGTTTTGTTTCTTAACAATGGACGCTGAAATGACGATCTTCGACGTTTGGTCTTTCACATTTGAACATAACAGTCATGCCTTTTTTATTCTTCCAACTGGTTTAAAATTCACTTTTTAAAATGGCCATCGATTTGCGGTTTGCGGCTTTCATGTCTTCATCTGTTGTTTCGAAACGAGATAGATCTCTTAGCGTGGAAGGGTTTAAAATACCCATAACACAATAGATAACACAAAGATAAGTTATTCAACTTCCCTTTCTTTATAGCAAGCAAATGTCAAATAGTAATGTACAACAATAAAAGGCCTTAGCTTTTGTTCTGTGGTCGCCGTACACTTTTCAAAAGAGTGATTTTGGTCAAAAGAGGCGCATCAGAAAAATAAGCTTTTTTTTTTCCTTCTGCAAGATGCTCATATCACTCACACATGGACAGAAACCGCACAACTTCGAATTCTTGGTGTTGCTCGTTAAAATGTATATTAAAATGCAATATCTTTAAAAGAGAGAGTACATATGATATTACAAATGAAGATGAAATTGTTGAAATACAAAACCACATGAACCGTATAGGCCTAATAGTGTAAGGTTTATGCATGAAAATTATAAATCGAGTGGCCATGCAGGTTCAAAGAATAGAATATTAATTACCCGGGAAGGGCAAAAATGTAAATGTATATTTACATTTTTCGAAGAAATTCTCGTTTTCATCACTTATCTAATCTCTGATAGTTTATAAAGTGTTTCACGTTTTTAAACCAGTCCAACAGCTCATTAGAGCTTAGGTGTTATTGTTTCAACGTGCACCGTTAAAAGATAGGGACTTGACTTTAATATACCCGTGGGGGAAAACATGAACTGCGACAAGTTATGCAAGCTGCCTTGCTCTTAACTTTCTCAAGACATACCCACGTCATCAGTGAGGCAAAGTGTACTAATCGGTCAATGCACCATGAAATATGGCTATTATGAAACTCTTGGAACTTCAACATAGCAGAGTGGAATCTTTGCGGTCGTGTCTCACC